AAAGAGAGAGAAACAAGGAGACGAGGGGCGGAGAGAGAGAGACGAGGATAGAGCAGAGAGAGAGAGAGAGCTAGAGAGAGAGGAGGAGAGAGAGAGCGAGAGAGAGAGAGAGAGGAGAGTGAGAGAGGAGACTATGAGCGAATGAGAGAAAGACTATGGGAGAAAAGAGAGAAAAAAGAGAGTGAAGAGAGAGTGACTGAGAGATTAAGAGAAAGAGGGAGGTAAACAGAAAAGCACTTGGTCATTGTAACAAATAGTTCATGGATAGACAGTGCGTAAAACTCACTCAATCCCTGTGTCCCCAGTGGCTGCAGCACCAGATGGACAGGATCACAGGCCTGGGTGTCTTTGGCGAAAAGAAACCCAATCATGTCCTTGTCAACGAGTACTTACCAGGACAAGGGATCATGGTGAGTACTTTATAAGTTTTGTTACACATATGAGCAGAAGTTTGACTACACTCACTATTAGTATCCTTGCTGTGAATTACACGGAACTACTTTAAGAAGGAGAAGTAATCATGTATGGGTTGTTGCTGTGCCCATTGCTTGTTCAATGGCCATCTCTCTCTGTCTCTCCGTTTTTATCTGTCTATCTCTCCCTGTCTGTTTCTGTAAGTTTCTGTCACTTTTTGTTTCTGTCTCTCACTGTCTCAGCCTTTGTGTCTGTATCTGTGTCTGTCTGTATCTGTATCTGTATCTCTGTCCTTGTCCCTGTTTCTCTGTCTCTTTCTTGTCTCTGTATATATTGTGTCTCTGTGTCTGTCTGTCTGTCTGTCTGTCTGTCTGTCTGTCTGTCTGTCTGTCTGTCTGTCTGTCTGTCTGTCTGTCTGCTGTCTGTCTGTCAGTCAGTTCTGTCTGTCTGTCTGTCTGTCTGTCTCTCTGTCTCTCTCTCTCTCCTCTCTCTCTCTCTCTCTCTCTCTCTCTCTCTCTCTCTCTCTCTCTCTCTCTCTCTCTCTCTCTCTCTCTCTCTCTCTCTCTCTCTCTCTCCTCTTCCTCTTTCCTCTTCCTCTTCCTCCTTCCTCCTTCCTCCTCCTCCTCCTCCTCCTCCTCCTCCTCCTCCTCCTCCTCCTCCTCCTCCTCCTCCTCCCCTCCTCTGCCTCCTCCTCCTCTTCCTCTTCCTCTTCCCTTCCCCTCTCCCTCTCTCTCCCTCTCTCCTCTTCTCTCCTTTTCTTCTTCTCTTCCTCCCTCCCTTCTTCCCTCCCTTCTCCTCCTTCCTTCCTCCCTTTCCTTCCCTTCCCTCCCTCCCTCCCTCCCTCCCTCCCTCCCTCCCTCCCTCCCCTCCCTCCCTCCCTCTCCTCCCTCCTCCCTCCCTCCTCCTTCCCTCCCTCCCTCCCTCCCTCCCCCTCCTCCCTCCCTCCCTCCCTCCCTTTCCCTTCCCTCCCTTCCTTCCTTCCCTCCCTCCCTCCCTCCCTCCTCCTCCCTCCCTCCCTCCCTCCCTCCCTCTTCCTGCCTTCCCTCCTTCCTTCCTTCCTTCCTTCCTTCCTTCCTTCCCTCCTTTCCTTATTTCCCTCCCTTCCTTCCTTCCTCCCTTCCTGCCTTCTTTCCTTCCCTTTTCCTTCCCTTCCTTCCTTCCCTTCCCCCTTCCTTCCTTCCTTCCTTCCTTCCTTCCTTCCTTCCTTTCCTTCCTTCCTTCCTTCCTTCCTTCCTTCCTTCCGCTTCGCCTTCCTTCCTTCCTTCCTTCCTCCTTCCTTCTTTCCTTCCTTCCTTCTCTCCTCCCTCTCTCCCTCCATTTGTCATGGAACAATTGCCAGCAATTTCTGCCTCCCTGTCTCTTGCCTCCATCCTCTTTTGCTTCTCTACAACACCCCCTCCATTTAGTGTCTATTTTACTTTGGACACAAATTATATTGTGCCATCCATGAGTTATGTACATAGAAGTATAAGCCAGGCTGGATGAGTATTATAGTATTGATATTTTACCAATTAAAAAAAAATTATTGTAATAACGATGAACCTGATAGTGATGTGGTTTTCAGTATGATGAATTAACTTGGAGATTGAATGAATGATGAATAAACCATATATGGATTTAAATGATGTATTTTTTATGATAACTATATATGAGACTAATGAAAAATTTTGATGGTAAATATTAGCAAAATCAACAACAGGATGATCCTTTGACAATAATTATCATTGTGAATAACCTAGAAAACTAAACACTTGAACATTTTTAACAACAACCCTCTGACATGTCCCCTAACAGCCTCATGAGGACGGCCCCTTGTTCTACCCAACCATCACCACTATAAGTCTAGGAGGTCCCTGTCAGCTCAACCTTTACCGTCCTCACACCTCCATGCAAAATCACAGCGAGGAACAGGATGAAGGTACAGAGAATGGTGAGCAGAATGGCGAGGAGAACAGTAACAACTTGGAATATGACTTGGAAGCTCGCTATGTGGGCTCTCTCCTTCTGGAAGCAAGAAGTCTCTTGGTGCTGCAGGAAGATCTCTATGTGACTTTCCTACACGGTATTGAGGAGACCAAGCAGGATGTGGTGACCGACAGGATCCTCAACCTAGGGTCCTGTACTGTGAATGTTGGAGACACTGTAGAACGCAGCACGAGGATCTCACTCACTATCAGACATGTTCCGAGGGTCATTAAGGCTAAACTCCTGCTGGGAAAAAACAGACGCTGATAGAAATGAAAAAAAGAAGGGTAAATGCTGATAAAGAAAGACAAAGGTTGGGCAGATACTGAGCAGACACTGATGAAATCATGAATAAAGGAAAAACTGAAGGAGAATGACAAATGAAATTGTTATTAGCATTAGTTTTTTTATATTTAAAAAGCAAAGAAAAATAATTTGTTACTGTGATAATGCCTGTGATTATGAACTCTAATGTTTGAAATAAAGAATGACTTGGATTAGATTTTGTTTTGGAGTTCCAGTGCCTCTTCTTCCCCCTGCTTGTATGTTTTTGTAAATATATATTAACAAAAGTATATACTGATATATATGTATGTATGAGTACGTATGTATGCGTATATGTTTATGTATGTGTATATATATCTTTATTGTTATTGTTATTGTTATCATTTTCATTATTATTATTATTATTATTATTATTATTATTATTATTATTATTACTGTTGTTGTTATTATTCTTATTAATGACCAAACATATGGCAAGATACAACAATCTGAAGATATGATTTATATTATTTATACATATGAGGTCATGCATGTCCAAAAGTGTTCTCCATTCAGCTTACTGAAAATGCATTAATTTTTGTTGTTATTTTGTTTTGTTTAAACTTCCTTCCATACCAAAAGCATCAATATGTTCATGTCAGATCATGAAAGTTTGAACTCACAAAGCATTTAACGGTAATAGCGCATTCACAGGCCGCCAGGAAAAGGAGGGGCAGTCCTCCATGGCTGGGAGTACTGCCCTTCCCTCCCCTTGTATTTCACCAGCTGTTGAACCCCCATCTGCTCCCCCTCCCACACCTTTTTCATTCCTAACCAGTAGATTAATAGCGTTATATATCATATATACCATTATATATTGTATGCATTATCACCCCTTGATATATATGTGATATATATGTATTTTCCTCTTTTACCTCCTCCTTGCTGACTTATAATTTTTTTCTAGATCTGACAGTTAGAGAGAGAGAGAAGAGAGAGAGAGAGAGAAAGAGAGAGAGAGAGGGAGAGAGAGAGAGAGAGGGAGAGGTAGAGAGAGAGAGAGAGAGAGAGAGAGAGAGAGAGGAGAGAGAGAGAGAGGAGAGAGAGAGAGAAGGAGATAGGAGAGAGGGAGAAGGGAAGAGGGAGGAGGAGAGGGAGAGGGAGAGAGTGAGAATGAGGGAGAGGAAGAGGGAAGAGAGAGAGAGAGAGAGAGACAAGAGAGGAAGAGAGAGAGAGAGAGGAGAAGGAGAGAAAGAGAGAAAGGAAAGGGAGAGAGAAGGAGAGAGAGAAGAGAAGTAGACGAGAGAGAGAAGAGGGAGAAGGAAGAGGCAGAGAAGAAGGAAGAGAGAGAAGAAAAGAAGAGAAGAGAAGAAGAAGAAAGAGAGAAGGGAAGAGAGAAAGGTAAAAGAGAGAGAAGGAAGAGAGGAAAGAGAGAGAAGGAAGAGAGAGAAGGAAGAGAGAGAAGGAAGAGAGAGAAGGAAGAGAGAGAAGGGAAGGAGAGAAGAAGAGAGAGAGAGAGGAAGAGAGAGAGAGGAGAGAGAAGGAGAGAGGATAGAGAAAGAGGAGGAGGAGAGAGAGAGAGAGAGAGGAAGAGAGAGAGAGAGAGCAGAAAGAAGGAAGAGAGAGAGAGGAGGAGAGAGGAGAGGAGAGAGAGAGAGGAGAGAAGAGAGAAGAGAGAGAGAGCGAGAGGAGAAGGAAGGAGAAAGGGAGAGAAACAGGAGGAGAGAAGGAGAAGGAGAAGGAGAGGAGAAGGAGAAGAGAAGGAGAAGGAGAAGGAGAAGGAGAAGGAGGAAGGAGAAAGAAGGAGAAGAGAAGGAGAAGAGAAGGAGAGAGAGAGAGAGAGAGAGAGAGAGAGAGAGAGGAGAGAGGAGAGAGAGAGAGAGAGAGGAGAGAGAGAGAGAGAGAGAGAGAGAGTGAGTGAGTGAGTGAGTGAGTGAGTGAGTGAGTGAGTGAGTGAGTGAGTGTGAGTGAGTGTGAGAGTGAGTGAGAGTGAGTGAGAGAGTGGAGAGTGAGTGAGTGAGAGAGAGAGAGAGAGAGAAGGAAAGAGAGAGAAGAGAGAGAGAGAGAGAGAGAGAGAGAGAGAGAGAGAGAGAGAGAGAGAGAGAGAGAGAAAGAGAAAGATAGACAGAGAGAGAAGGAAACAAACTCTTGGGAAAAGATAGGCATCTTGGCCAGTGGAAACTAGGTGTGAAATCCTGTCTTGTTGCAATTCCGCTCACTGCAGCAGTATTAGTACCATCTGACGAAAACTTGCAGTCACTTCTCTGCAAATATGGATACTCAAGATCAAGAGGAAAATAAAAATTTCGTTCCCCGTGGTTACCAGAATGATGGGAGGTAAAAGTTAATCTCCTTTAAGCTGCTGATTTTGATGCCATTCATGTTCGATACAGGCAGAAGAAATTCCTGTCGAAAATAATTTTCTTGTTAACTTCTCCGAAAAGACTTGCATTTTCTTGTTAACTTCTCCCTTTGTCTCCTCTTAATTAGTTTACCAATCCCGTATTTCCATATTTCGTTTAGATTCTAAAAAATGATTTGAAAAAAGAAATTACGCAGGAAATCTGAATATCACTTAACCGGTTTCCTCATATGGTCCGTTTTGATTGTTTATAATGAAGACTAAAGGTACATAATTTCCACTAATTTCAAAAGGCTAGCCGCAACTAGCCGAATGTACTTGCACCACGGAAAAGATCTTTAATTCGGCTAATATCAAATCTGTCATGAATATTGAAATTTCCGAGTAACCGGCTAATTATGCGTGCCGCCAATCTCGGCGCCGATATTTATCTTCTTAGTGATCTAGTTTAGTTGTATTTTGTAAATATTTAGACCACTGATTACTATATTTCCCAATACTTAAAAGTCGCAATGAAAGTTTCCTCTTAGTCATGAGAATAAAAATACATCTTTCCACATGCCCGGTTTCCCTTGCGTCATCTCACCGCCACTCGGAGTTTAAGCGACGCATTAGTGTACACAACAACCATGGCGGAAGAGGAACACCTGTCGCCTTTCCACACCGAGAAAATCGTCCAATTTCAGGTGATTCCCGGGCGAGTCTAGATCCGCCAGGTTGTGGGACGCTTTCAGAATTTAATATTGTATGCATGAATAGGACCAAAAATGTGTTCTGTCCTTGCTAAATGCATTCTCGAGCATTATCTTCGGTAATCTGTCTCCCCAAGTGACAGTTGTATGACAGATGTAAATGCTGGCGTTACGGGCATTTCTTTTGGCTGGAACATTTTTTTGATTTGAATACATAATGAAGAGGGTTTGGAGAGGATGCCTGTGTGAGGGATTTTTGAAGGAGAAAGTTGGTGGTGGGAGGAGAGGCATCCTCTAACCTGCGTGGTGCATTGCCGACGGTGATGCAATTTGTTTCTGCAATAGGAAAATTTTTAGTTGTCCCTAAGGGAGTAGTCTAAGTTACATTTCTTCAATTCCTCAGGCAGATTTAACTGAATAAGAGTTTGCCAGCATAAATCACCTTAATATCATATTCTTTGAAATAAGTCTTCTTGAACCACAACTAGCAAATAGAGAGATTTATTATTGGAATTTTTTGTGTTGTTCATAAGATTCATACTTTTACCACTTGGTAAAGAACATTTTTGGAGTTTTGGAATCTCTGGGGAACATTTCTCCACCTCTTTGTAGCAGCCAAAAGATTGTTACTCAGACCCAGGTAACTTAAATTACCTATTATCTAGCCTGACCTCAGTCTTGTTTTGTGTAACTTAACATCATCTAAGTAGTATAAACTAGTATTAAAAGATAAATGTTTGAGATAAGGTTATTGGTTATTTATAGCAAGATGTAGATATAAAGAGAAATGAACAACTCCTCCTTATAGTGCGTAAGAAATAGAGACAGCAGCAACATAGTTCAAGTTGTAGTAGCCTAATATTCATCCCTAAATGACAAATATATCCCCTGCATAGCACTGCTCAGAGTCTAAGTCGCTCATGTTCTTAACCCACTAATGCCGGTATATTTTGAAGCCGGAAATAAAAGGTTCTGGGCGTCTATAAAATTGACACATGGGGCTGGCTCAGACTTTGCCCGCACGCTGGCCGCGGCCCACGGCCCGCTGCTGAGTCGGAGCGCAAACCTCGATACAGCATCACACTGGCAGGACGCCTGGCAATTTTTTTTTTTCCGTGTGTCTCATATGTGGGCCACCCGTTGTAAGTGGGTTAACCTTGCCAGGAAAAACAAAACACTGACCGCTTAGCTCATTACTGCGATATCCCAAGTAGTTCATATATTACTACATGCTCTCAGAATTATGTTTTGCGAATAATCAGTATCTGCTGTTACATGTTTATGCTTCTAAAGTCTTTTATTAATGTTTTTATACTTCAATTATATGTTTTAAGATATATTTATATAGTTCTTTAGAATGAACTGTGAATTGTGTATTTCAGACTTTTAGTAGCCACCCATGAGGTTTGACAGCTCACCGGCCATTCTGTGACAGAAGGCCGATGAGAAATGTTGCGTTTCCAGTGTTGCATTGATTCTGGGTTATTCTTATGACTATTTAGTGGCAACAAAGAAGAAATAGCCTTTAGTAAACATCCTAGTTTGATATCTGAGCCCATCAAGAGCCCCAAATACTGAAAAAAGTGATTAAAAACAAAGCAATCGGGACAGTAGAAAGAAGCAAATGAAAGTTTGACGTTTCCAAACATAAAGGTATCTCAAGAGAATGTTTCCTGGGGGGTCCATCAACCCTCCCCTTGGGTAATCAGGCAAGTCTAGTCACGGCAACTTAGATAGTTAGATTAGGTTGGTTTATTGGCCAGTACGTTTTTTGGGGGGTTTGGAACAAGTGAATTCCTGTAGATTTAGCCGAAAAACATTGAGATTTGCATCATTCTAGAGTCTAAACCATATTTTTTGTATTGAAGCTGTTGTGTTTGACCACATATTTAATTCAGCAGTATGTTATAATTCTGACCAGGAATATATAATTTGTCGTTGCCAATTTGGGAACGGTGGCTCATTGAACCTTCTGTATTAAGGTTGATTATACGGCTTTTTGCTATATGCTGCTTCGTTAACCCAATGCCGATGGGAAAATGTTGTGTTCACTTTAGTATTGTTTTCTTAAATGTTTCTATACATAGATGGCTCTGCCAGTGCTTAGCGACAAAGGAATCAATTTGAAGATCTTATGACTTCACCTTTCCTTGAAATAGCAGGAAAACGTTTTTTTTTTACCAATGCTATCAATATTGACACTATTATTTTTGTTATAAACATAATTATTATATTGCTATTAACATTACTAACAACAATATTAAATACTAGAAAATATTTTCGAAAATCAAGGAAAAGGGTAGCCAGGTAAGACAATTACTTCTTGTAACTGGCTCATGGTGACTTAGTGCTTGTGGAGCTATCTATATATATAAAAATGATTAGTAAATTAAACACATAGTGCGCATGGCATGTTCGCACATGCTATCCCCGGCGGCATGTGGTTAAGTTATATTTTGTATGAGTGAGGGTTAGCACGGCACACAAGTAAATAGAAAACATTCTGTGGGGGGTAACTTAGATATATTATTAATGATACCCTAATACAAAGTTCAAAACTAATTAGAACTTTATAAGAAATATATATATAGCAGAAACCTTTGGAAATTTTTATGAAATTGATAAGACTAAATGAGAAATTGGAAATATAGACTGACCTTCATATATTGTTATTCCTTGAAGCAACTTTTTAAGAAGTCAGATATCACAGCTGATCAATGATACCTTCCTAATTGATATCACTTGTTATTTTGAAATGGTTGCTTCTGGAAAAATAAGTGTATATGAGAATATTCAGTTTAGCTTATTTTTTGACATTTTAACTCATTCTTTAAACTCTTGCTCTTAGGGGTTTAGGGACTTGGAATGAATCCTTACTGAATCAATTACCCAGTATACAATAGTTTGTAAATTAATTTTCACTGATAGCAGAACATAGTGCAAATTGTAGAAAAATAAATTGTGCGAAGTTATTATAGAAGGGTAATATTGAGTGCAATTTAATGGTAAAAAAATCATAGATGTTACCAACAGTTTTCTGGTTATACTGTGCCATAGAGAAAAATGTATTTGATTGTGTTTGAGAATTAGTGTACTTGTTTATAGCAAAGTATGATGAATATAGAGAACTTACAAAATAAGTTTGCACATTTCTGAAGAATATAAATGTGGTAGTTACATGCACCATTAAATTTTAAGTAGACATATCATGCATTTAAGGTAATGAAATGTCTATATGGAAAATGATTTTGTAAATATTGTCATTATTACTGACTATCATTAACTGTATACTCCATACATAGGTATTCTGTAATTTTGTTTTTTAATGTTCAGATTAGGACTTTACATCAATAGAGAAGATTGATGTTTATAAAGAAAACATAAAGCAACAATGATAGGTAATTAAAATATTTAGAAAAAGTAAAGGTAAGGCCACAATCACCCATCTATCAGTGTTTGCCTATGTCCAGCAATGCAGTGGCCTTCATGCTTCAAACTCTAGTGGAGGCAAACTTCTGGAGTATATATTGTGGCAAGATAGAACTCTTTGATTGCTCAGAGAATTAACCGCCAATGTTCTGGATGACATGACCAAGTCGTCATGAAATAATTGGGCTAAATGGTGATTCAAGTGAACATGCCGTCATGGGAAAATCTGGCAATGGGCTGGGGTGATGCAAATTTACTGTTGTGAGCATTTCGGCTGAAGGCTGGGGTGATAGAAGAGACTCGCCATGAGTGCAGAAAGCTCTTAGAAGGTGATTAGAATCATATGCTGTTTGGAAAGAGGCTTTTGGATTATTGTCATCAGTGAATGAGTGTGGAATTGAGTGTGTATGACGTATGTGCTTAGAAAGATTATTTTATGTCTTGTACATTATATGACATACTGAATAAACTCAACACATTAATGATATATGCAGGAAGTCACTGGAACAGAGGACTTGGGAGAAGCCCGGTCACAGTTGGAGAACCATGGATGGGACCTAGAGGCAGCCGTCCAGACACACCTTGCTCTGGGGGACAACCGCGCACCAACACCTCCCATTCCAGCACAGGTAGGTTTTATGGCCGTATGCTTAAAGAAAATTGTCTTGGTTTGTATCATGCTGTCATTTCATATATTACCCAACTCTGCCACTACCTTGTACTGCATATGGTCCCAATTTCCTTATGCTAAAGTCTTCACGATTGTAGGAAGTCTTAACGTAATTTTAGACTGTCAGTTTCAAAAATACAATATTCTTATCCTCTAGCATTATTTTGGTATACCATTTGATTTTTTACGGTATTATTCCTTAGTAGAGGATTTGTCCTTCAAAGAGTGGATTCCACAATTTCTTTAAGCATACGACCGTTAATGAGAAGATAGGGCCTCTGTTTCAGTAAGGCGGAAGGTCTTCCATTTAGAGTTGAATCATTTGGGTAATGGCCAGTAGAGATAAACAACAATGTATCTATGTATAGATCACTTGGCATGTTCCAGGTTTTTGTAATTATGTTACAGAATTTCTTTTCACAAATGTTGTTGGGAACAATGAGGATCACTCACCAACTTGTCTCACAGAATGGCAGAAATGACCACAACGGTTGGCAAAACCTGGCTGGAGTGGAGGAGGGAGTGGAGATGGGGGAGGGGGCGGGGCCAATCGCCATGATGAGGATGACACAGATACTGAGGATGGGGCGGACAGTGGAGAGAGAGAGAGCACCTCTGGCAGCCTCTTACCTGCGTGGCCTCGGGGGAGTATCTTCAGCTGGGGCTATTATCTCCTCACGCTGCCCTTCCGCATCACGCTCTCCTCCCTCTCCTCCCTTTTCCTCTTCGTCTACAGGATTGTCTACCCATATCCTCGCAGATGTGAGTATCTTGAAGTGTGTAAATGAATTAGAAAGTAAATAATTGAATGTGTGTGTGTGTGTGTGTGTGTGTGTGTGTGTGTGTGTGTGTGTGTGTGTGTGTGTGTGTGTGTGTGTGTGTGTGTGTGTGTGTGTGTGTTGGAATGGGGATGTATGTAAGTATTTGCATATGGATATGTGTGTTTATCTGTGTATGTAAACTTGCATGTATGTACATATATCATTATACATATTGTTGTTTGCTTCTGTAACCAACTTCACTGATGACCTCACCTATGCCCTGCAGTAACTGACCCCCTGGGGGACGTGCTGCAGTTCATTGGACAGTATGAGGCAGAGTACGGGCAGCAGCACCCTGCCTTCTTCCAGGGCTCATACTCACAGGCTCTCAGCCATGCCAAGTCGGAGCTCAAGTTCCTCTTGGTCTACCTGCACTGTGCTGATCACCAAGACACGCCGGCCTTCTGTAGGTTAGTCTAGAGAGCTCTGGGCTTCCTGTAGTTTTGGATGTGCACTCTATTTACTAGGATTTGGTGTTTATTATGAAGGGTATCACTCTGGGTTTGCCTGGTTTGCACACTGACCCCAAGGCCAGTGCTGGATTTGTACAAAATTACTAACTATTCTCGAATATCATATTTCTCATGGATTTTGGTGTTAAAAACATAATGGGTAACTTGAACAAGTATTGAAAAATTAAATAATTTTTCACTCACTTTATTTCTTTTCATACAAATTATTGGTTATATAGAAATATTCTCCAATCATGTCCTATGTTACTATTGATCCTCCCCTCCCCACAGAACGACCCTCTCAGACCCAGCTCTGGTGGAGTACGTCAACAACACCATGGTGTTCTGGGGCTGCTCTGTCACCACAGCAGAGGGCTATCGAGTATCGCAGGCCCTGAGAGAGAATGCATATCCATTCCTAGCCCTAATTGTGCTACGGGACAACCGCATGACAGTGGTTGGCCGATTGGAGGGACCCTGCACACCCACAAAGCTGACTGAGCAACTGCAGCTGATTGTTAGGGACAACGAGGCCTATCTGGTGGTGGCCAGAGCAGAGAGGTAAGTGGATCTGTTCTGTTTGTATGGAAAGGTCACTTGTGAAGTTGCAGAAGTTGGAAAGGTGAAATATTACTCACAGGACGGGGTGAAGTGTGTTGTTAATTTAGCATAGACTATTGATGGACGCTGACAGCAAGAAGTGCAAGTCTATTGTGTGATATTTTATTTTAGTTTACATGTGATTTTTTTCTCTCTAAATTTTCTTATGCTTCTCAGACTCATGAGGTTGAATTTTTATTGGTCATCTTGCTCCTTTGAATGTGAATTGTACTGTTGGATTAGCAATGCATTTTTGATACTGTAATGGTATATTAGATTACCATTGTGAAATAATATCAGAATTTGTAGTCATTAAATATCTGGAATTTGATAGCATATCAAAATTACAACACACTTTGCTGCATATTAGAATAAGAATGGTATTCTTGTAGATAGTTTATTTTAGCCAAAGACTTCAAATGAATCTTGACGCATTGGTTTCAAAGGACCATTACATGAGTGAAAATGAGTCCCAAATTATTTCAAGGCTAGATAGATGCAAAAGGTGTCATTTGCATACACAAAGAAGTTGCGTTTATTAGCCTTTTCATGATCAGTGATTTGTCCACAGGCAGGAGAGAGAGCTGACGGCAGCACTGAGGCTCCAGCAGGATGAGGACTACCAGGAGAGTCTCCGTGCTGATCAGGAGAAGGAAAGAAAGAGGCAGCAAGAGAGGGAGGAGATAGAGCGGAAGGAGATGGAAGAAAGAGAGAGAGAAGAGGAGCAGAGGAGAGAGAAGGACAATATTAGAAGACTGAAGATTGAGAGTGTGGACAAGATACCACAGGTTTGTTTGTTGTGCTCACTTTACTTTTTTTTTCTCTTATGCTTTTTTTTAGCATTGTTTTATAAAAACATTTAAAAACAGAGCAAAAGTAGTTCATCCAGATGCAGTAATAGCAGAGCAGACTTTCATGAATTTATATTTCTCTCATAGAATGTGTATGAAATATTATAGTGAATACACACAAGGTCATTCCTCTGACCTAGCATTGGTAAGTTTGATGACAGAATTAACTGCAATATAAAAAATTAGCTTATGACCGTGTTGGCATGCTTTGGAAGTTTCCCCCATGTGCGCCTAACTAGCTCGGTACTTCAAGCCACAATCTCAGGCACCTAGTGAGAGTTTGAACATTTTCTTTTGCTTCCCTTCACTTAAATGCCAGCATCCAATGGTGACACCGAACAAATGATGTCACTACTATTGGAGAAAGAGGAGCTCCCTCTGATGAGCCAACATCACAGCATACGTCATTAAACTTTACTGTCCAGGACTCTGTCAGCCACTCCTATTGCATGATTTCTTGCCTTCTGCAATCAAAGGCTTGAGGGGACCATCTGCCAAAGAAATGGGCTTGAATTATATTATTGTTATTGTGAAAGATATCAATTTTTAAAGTTTTAGCTAACTCCCATAAGCATGCTAAGCCTCCCTGAGAATTTGTAAGAGGCTTTGATCCCTACAATTTGACCCTCAGATTTTTTTTGCTTTGATATCCTTGTTATCTTACTATATTCAGTGGATGTATTATAATAATTTGTGGTATATATATATTTTTAGATGACTTATTCTTAGACCAGTTTATTCCAGTTGAATGGATATATATGTATACATTTTTTTAGAAATGTATGTTGGATTTATCTTTCAGTTTTTGATAACTTTCAGCCATTGACAAACTCAACTAAGCATATCAAGTTCCTATGAGTTTGTTTCAAAATTGGTTAAAGTATTATACTTTTGTAGTATTAGAAGTATTTTAAGTTACTGGTACATGATTGGAACATATGTCAAAGTGGAAAGAGTTTAGATGTTTTATTTTTTATTATTTTTATTATTCTTTTTTCAATAAATCAGCCTATATGTATGAAATAAGGAAGGGTGTTGCTAGAATGAGTCGCAAATCCCCTTATCCCCTTAACTTCCAACCAGGGATTGTTGGGTACAATTGGCTGAAGTTGATGGCTGGTCAGCTATCAATGAACCATCTCCAGAGACCCTGTATTGTAGTAACATCTTATCCTACTGCACCAGTCTATTATGTATACTCATTTTCATTTAAATGTTGTGTAACTTTTTAAAGAGAACATACAAGTCACTGCAGTTAAGGTGCTAGTGCTTCATTCCTTTTTTTTTCCACTGTGTATGAGAATATTAGCCAAAAAAGAGTATTTGAAATTTGCAAAAGTGCAAAACTTTGGAATGTCATTTATTGTATATAGATATGAAAAGGGGTAACATGGTGCACTAGCTATTGCTTTTTCAAGAAAAGGAGGCATGCCTGATGTCCTAGAGTCAGGTAAGGCTTAAGGGAATTCCAAATATGAGAGATTTATACTTTTTTTAATTTCAAGATTGTACCCCAGAGAAGTTACTTACCTTCAATTTGAGAAAATGCTGTCTTCTGATAGCACTTCTAAGCTCAGACTGATCCACATCAGCCACAAATCATCCAAAGTCAATCATCATCTAAAAACCATTCCATATTATTAGCACTTGAAGTGCGTCATCCATATGATCCAAACTCATCCAAATCATCTACAACTCGCTCAATGATCCATAACTCATCAAGTCTACAACTTATCCACATCATCTACAACTCATCCACATGATCCATAACTCATTCACAACTACTGCCACACCAACATTACTTTCACCCCCAGGAGCCAGAGGAAGGTGCTGAGGGCACGGTGCACATTGTGGTGAAGCTCCCTCATGGGGCAAGGCTGGAGAGACGCTTCCTCAAGACGGACAGCCTGGAGGCCCTCTACTACTACATCTTCTGCCATCCAGACTCCCCAGATAGGTATGGGCTCTGAGTATCAAAGAATTTTTGGGAGGGGAAGGTTTTTTTTTTTTTAGAGAATTTTTTGTTTGTTTTCAGTTTGTTTAATTTGTTTGCAGATAAGAGCTCATTGAAGGTGTATTTTTAAATTTGTTTTTGATTGCTTATTTCTTCTTACTCTTCACTGGATGGTGTGGGAGAATGGAAGGGTTCAGTTTCTTTTTAATGTCAGATTGATGTGGAAGTATTTGTATGCTGATTTATTTGTTTGTAGGTGGAAGCTAATGCATGAAGGATATTTTTTATTTTCATGGTTCATGTGTTCTGCATTGTTGAAGTAGGTTTTTGTTATTTTTTTTGTTTTCTTTTGTTGTACTTTTTAATTTTCTTGTGAAGTAACTAAGGAGACAACTTTCTGAAAAAGTGCTTTTATTAATGATATGGAATTAGAATACTGATATTGCCATTGTAAAATGATATAGGGCAGTTCTTACCTTCTTTGATAAATCTGTCTTTAGTTTTCATGTTGTGTTTTAGTCTTCAGTTTTAGTTCATAGTTTTTGATTGTTAGTATTTAAGGTTGAACTTGAATCTCTATTTTTAGTTATTAGTTTTTAGTTTTGATGTTTGATTTTCATCTTTAGTTTTGGTATTTAGTTCTCAGGTTTTAATTTTAGTCTTCAGTTTTTAGTTGTGTACATATATTTGTCGTTTTCCCTTCAGGCTTCTGTGGGGCTACAGTATTATGTATGATTTTATATACACAGAAGTCAGCTGCCAATCATTTTTATTCAGCTTTTTACTCTCAGAATTGTTTGCTGTTTATTTTTGCCACTCTTGTATATCCACTGAAGTGGTTAACTAGTAATTTTTATTGCCGTTGTTTGTTTTTTTATTAATTAACTGATTTAATTTTTGAAGTAATTCAAAGATGATTTTACTCACTTTTTGCTTTCCCAAAATTTTCCTCACACTTTTACTTCAACTGAGCTGATTTACCAGTTTTAATATTTTCTTTTGTTTAGTTTATTGATGAAATAATAGATTAATTTTTGAAAGGTACCCAAAGATAATCTTACTCACTTTTTACTTTCTCAGAAATCATTCACCAGCTTCATTATTATCATAAAAAAAAATTAAATAATTGATTAATTTTTAGAAATATACGAAGATGATTTTACTCAGTTTTTGCTTTCTCAGAAATCACCCACCAATGTCACTCACTTCTGCAATCTCTCCCACAGGTTCCAGGTGACCACCAACTTCCCCAGACAGGTGGTGCCTTGTGAACCCTCGGAGGCCAACCCCAACCCTCCTACCTTCGAAGAGTTTCGTCTACCCCCAAGGAGCATGCTTTTTGTATCCGACTTAGATGCCTGAGGAGGCTGTAGAGTCAGGTGGACAGTGGGGAGTGGGGGTGGGGGGGGAAGATTGCAATGAATTTTTTTTTTTTTTTTTAATTATTATTTTTATTTTTTTTATGAGTTGCCAGTGAAGGATTAATGGATTTGCATAAGAGAAGAAATAGACCAAATAACCATAATTATTGTGAATGGTTTGAGTTTGCTGCAGTGAAGTGCACAATTTGTTCTTGTTTACCCCCCCCCTCTTACCCCTTCCATCCTCCTCCCTCCATCTCCCTGCTTCCGTCCACTAATGTTGGTGCAGGCAGGTTGGATGGCGGGACTTTGGGGGGATAGTGCCATGTGATGTTATGACGGGAAGCATGCGAAGTACCGTTGTATACAGGGGGTTTATTGGTCATCATTGCCTTAATTCCATGTTTCTGCATGGAAGTGATAAATACATAGGCAGTAATCAGGTAGATTTAATTCCAAATCAAAAAGGGAAATTAACAAAGCCGCAAAGAGAAAAGGAAAGTAGAGAAGACTGTTTCTGTGACGGGGAACACTGCTATAGAGAATTCCCAGTGTCTGAAAGTCTTTGTTTAGAATTAACAGTAACCTTTTTTTTAGTGATAGTATTGATAGGTGTTTGTTTTTTGGGGGGTGCAAAGTGTGTACTCTGTGTATGGCTGGAGGGTGTACGTAAATTTTGTAAGTTTATTGTACGGTTTACTTATGGTATGGGCTTAATGACAAAAATGTAACTAATTAGGGCATTTATTTAATGACAACGAGAAAAGTAGGCAGTCATTATCCTAGCCAGAATTTTATAATTTACAGTTGGAAAATTGTATCTAGTGCTGTATATGAGAGATTGAAGGAGAGGGAAAGGGAGACAAACATTCACAAACACGCCCTCAGGAACACAAACATACTAATTTTCTTGTATTCATTAAGATTAAACTCTCTTCTGTTCTTTTCTTTCTCCTTTTACACCCTTCCTCCCTCTCTCCCTCAGTTTCCAGCAGAGACTTACAGGCTATGACAAGATATAAAGATTGAGACAATGTTGCTAATACTTCCAGTGGACATTTTTAGAATTTGTGGCTGAGAAGGAAACTTTGTGCTGAAACTGTCTTCAGTCCCATGTATGTGTGTGGGTTTGTATGTGTACTCAAGGTCTGAATTCCTGTGAGGATAAACTAGAAATGGCTAGTTTCTAATATGGTTGGTGTCTTCTTATATGTATATTTATTATAAATGACATCTTTCTTATTTATATGAGCACATTGCTGTGGGTGATTTTGTTTTTGTGTATCTATAGCTTTAGAAATGTGTCTGGAGACTAAGTCAGTGTTAAGTATTGTGGGAAAGATAAACAATAGCTGATCAGGGTGTTCTAAGAGTAGAGGTGGATAATGGTGCTGTATTTAGTTAGATTGTATTTGAAAAAAGAACAACAAAACGTGAGAAAATGGCAATTGAAAATGAATTGAGGTGTGAAGTTTTTGTTTACTTTATATTTATATTGATATATATATTTTTTGAACTTGTGAAATAGCCATTGCTTTAGCAAGAAAAAGGAAAAAAAGCAGAGTTCAAATTAATGGGAACAGCAACTCATAAGCAGAGAGGAAGCCATTGTAGGCTGCCGCTTGCTGTTCAATAGAAAGAATGAAATGCCACACCAACTTTGACATATCTTGGTGGATGGACCTCCTCCCTATGTTTGAATTCCTACCCCCTACCCACTCCCCATTTCTCCCCTTATCCTTCTTCTTCTTCTCCTCCTCCCCTCTCCTCCTCCTCCTCCTCCTCCTCCTCCTCCTCCTCCTCCTCCTCCTTCCTCCTCCTCTTCCTCTTCCTCTTCCTCTTCCTCTTCCTCTTCCTCTTCCTCCTCCTCCTCCCCCTCCTCCTCCTCTCCCCTCCTCCTCCTACTCCCCCTCCTCCTCCTCCTCCCCCTCCTCCTCCTACTCCCCTCCTCCTCTCCTACTCTCCTCCTCTCCCCCTCCTCCTCCTCCTACTCCTCCTCCTCCTACTCCCCTCCTCCTCCTACTCCTCCTCCTCCTCCTCCTCCTCCTACTCCCCCTCCTCCTCCTCCTCCTCCTCCCTCCCCTCCTCCTCCTACTCCTCCTCCTCCCTCCCTCCTCCTCCTCCTCCTCCTACTCCTCCCTACTCCTCCTCCTCCTCCTCCCCTACTCCCCCTCCCTCTCCTTCCTCCTCCTTCTGCCCTTTCCCCATTTAGTATTAAGAAACCAATGCACTATTGCGTCCAAAGGAGTTGCTTGTTGCTTGGAGGATGAGCCACTGGCTTGGCTCAGACCCTATGGCTGGCTCCCAACCCTTCCCTCCCTCCTTCCCCTTACCCCTCCTCACCGTCACATTTGTCTATATGTATGTATGTTCGGTTCTAAGCGCCATATCAGTTTCATCGAGAGATGCAGGTGAAAGCTTTTTGGTCTGGAACTATTCATTGGATTTTTTATTTTTTCTACCCATGCTGAAGTGGTAGTTAACCATGGGGAAATTTCATTTCTTTTCTTTTTTTCATATGTTAAAAGTTGTCACCGCATTGGTTTAATGTACAAGTCCCACTATGCCATGTCTGTCTATCTATCTGTCTGTCTGTCGAGTCCTCTTCATATCAGCTGCTTGACTCTCTTTGAGGTGTGTTTTAGATGCAGTATATCCCAAGCTAATGATGCACACACTTTCATACTGTTCTTTTATATATATATGTATCACCAGAAAACCTGTCTGCTTTTTGTAATTTGTGTAGACACGCTGTATCACAAGAGTTGCTTTTTTACACATAAGGGGGATCTTGTGGCCACATGTATTTTGATTCAGTGTCAGCATATTTATTCCATGTTGATGAACAGCATTGTGTATTTTTTTTTTTTTTTTTTTTTTTGCTGAAATGAGGTTTGTATTGATTTTTTTCTTTTTTATGTCACAGTTTTATCTTTACCTGCGTAACCTACTGTATATTAATATAATTTTTTTTTTTAACTCCCTTTCTTTTGTGGAGACTTTAGTCGAGATGTGTAGTCATAGTACATATGTAACTATTCTCCCCCCGAGGATAATGTCTTTGCTGATCTAGTATTATCTGGGAACATTTAGATTCATTTTTATATAGTTTCTGTTGTTGATGTTTTTGTTTCTTGTAAGTTGTTTTATACAAAAGTATAGTAATGATATAGGGGAGTGAGGATGTTTTTCTTTTATTTTAGATGCATTCCCCCCCCACCCCTCTCTCTCTCTCTCCTCTCTCTCTCTCTCTCTCTCTCTCTCTCTCTCTCTCTCTCTCACTCTCTCTGTCTCTCTCTCTCTCTCTCTCTCTGTCTCTCTCTCTCTGTCTCTCTCTCTCTCTCTCTCTCTCTTGTCTCTCTCTCATCTCTCTCTCCTCTCTCTCTGTCTCTCCTCTCTCTCTCTCTCTCTCTTCTCTCTCTCTCTCTCTCTCTCTCTCTCTCTCTCTCTCTCTCTCTCTCTCTCTCTCTCTCTCTCTCTCTCTCTCTCTCTCTCTCTCTCTCTCTCTCTCTCTCTCTCTCTCTCTCTCTCTCTCTCTCTCTCTCTTCTCTCTGTCTCTCTCTCCCTCGTCCTCTCTCTCTCTCTCCCTCTCCTCTCTCTCTCTCTCTCTCTCTCTCTCTGTCTCTCTGTCCCTCTCTCCTTCTCTCTCTCTCTCTCTCTCTCTCGTCTCCTCTCTCTCTCTCTCTCTCTCCTCTCTCTCTCTCTCTCTCTCTCTCTCTCTCTCTCTCTCTCTCTCTCTCTCTCTCTCTCTCTCTCTCTCTCTCTCTCTCTCTCTCTCTCTCTCTCTCTCTCTCTCTCTCTCTCTCTCTCTCTTCTGTCTCTCTCTCTCTCTCTCTCTGTCTCTCTCTCTCTCTCTGTCTCTCTCTCTTCTCTCTGGTCTCTCTCTCTCTCTCTCTGTCTTCTCTTCCTCTGTCTCTTCTCTAGTCTCTTCTTCTTCCTCCCCTCTCTCAACCCTCTTCTCTTCTCTCTCTCTTTCTTCTCCTCTCTCTCCTCCCTCCCCCCCCCCCCCTCCGCCCCTCCGCCCCTCTTCTCTCTCTCTCTCTCTCTCCTCGTCTCTCGTCCTCTCTTCTCCTCTCCTCCATCTCTCTCCTCCTCCTCTCTCTCTCTCTCTCTCTCCTCTCTCTCTCATAACTCTCCTCTCTGCTCTCTCTCTCTCTC